AGTGTGTTTTAAGCTGCTGGGTCCAGGACTCAAACTGTGGTCGACTACGTGAGTCCAGCGATGTAACCATTATGCCACCTGCTGGTCCTGTTCTTCTCTTGCCTTTATACACACCATTTTCTATGCTCTCACCTGTCTCAGGCATCAGCCGTCTGTGAGACTGGCTCCCACATTTACGTCTTTAGCCTGGACGTTTCCTTTGAGCCCTGACGGGTGTCTACTGCATGCCTGACGTCTCTGTGTGCCTCTCATGCCCCGGGTGAACTTCTTTTTCATTCTCCTCTCGGGATCTTGGGCACGCACGCACACGCGCCCGGCGTGAGTTTTAAGCCACTGGGTCCGGGACGCGAACCGCGGTTGACTACGTGGGAGTCCAGCGACATAGCCATTACGCTAACTGCTGGTTCCCCCGGGTGAACTTCTCAATCAAACCTCATCCTTGTTTTCTCCTTTCTCATTTCAATAAATGGCAGAAGTCTGAGTCCAGACGACCCTGTCCTTGATCTGCTCTACCATCTAACTTGTGAGCACATTCTGCCAATTTTCCCCCCAAATCCTTCCCATTGCCTTACATTCTGTCCACCCTCAGCCATCGTCCCTGTTCGTGTTGCCATCAGCTCTTCATTAACTCTGTCTAGCATGCCACTGCCTAAGAGGTCAGTTGACAATCAGTTATGTGTATTCTAGACCCTGTTTCATAGCATTTTAAAAGCTTATTTATTTATGGGGCCAGCAGGTGGTGTGGTGGTTAATGCGCTGGACTCCTACATGGCCAACCACAGTTCGAGTCCCGGACCTGGTGGCTTGCTTTCTCACTTGCCCTTTCTCTCTCTCTGTCTCTCTCTCTGGTCAAATTAATAATAACAAATAGAATTAAATAAATAAATTTTTTTAAGAATTATTTTATTTAACTTTATTAATTTATTTGTTTATTTTAATTTGAACAGAGAGGGACAGAGTGAGAGAGAGTGAGGGAAAACAAGAAAGCAAACTGCCAGGTCTAGGACTCAAACCATGGTTGGCTATGTGGGAGTCCAGCACCCTT